AAAAGGCAAAAAATAACAGTATGGACTAGCAGTAATGTACGTGACAGTATTAACAGGACGTAGAGAACCTCAGAGAGTCGCAGAGACAGATAAAGAGAATAGACATTCGGACTGTCCCACGAAATAAGCAGCTTTTTAAGCTGAATCTTTTACTTTTTTATATGCTCCAAATAACCATAGATTATTATTACGTGCGACTATGCGGGCTCTTCAATTCATCCGTCCAGCATCTTTAAATCTTTAATGCTTATATGGCATTTAAATTTCTAGAATGCAATCTGGCACAATGTTTAAAGAAGAAAAGAAAAAGATGATAAGTAGTGTAGAATTATTATTTATTAAGACAGGAGTTAGAAAAATATGAAAAGAAAATTTCAATAATCTTTCACATTGAGTCTAGTAGATTATTAGAAGATTAAGGATGTTTTTACTTGGACTGTAATTTGTCCCAGACCAGTTCAGACCAGGCCAGACCAGTTCAGACCAGACCAGACAAGACTTGGATAGTTATAAAAATACAAAGAAACCAGACCTTACCAGACCAGTTCAGACCAGACCAGATCAGACCAGACCAGACCAGACCAGACCAGCAAATTACAGTCCAAGTAAAAACATCCTAAATTAATGATGTGAAGGATCATTTCTAGCTAGGGTCATGAATCATGATTGATTGAGTGAAATTATTTAATGAGATTATGTGATAAATAATCTGGGACTGAATTAAAAATCTAGATTATTTTAAGATTATTGCAAAATTAGATTTAATTAGTTAGTGCAAGACCCTCAAAAGATAGGACTTTTTGATATTATGAATGATGTAATTTAAAAAGTGTGATATTATTTTGTCAAAGTATATGTGTCATAAAAAATCTATTTATTCAAATAGGATGAATGTGAATACTCTTAACAACCAAACAATCTTGTAACCCAAACTCACTTCTATTTGTATGATGACACTTATTTACATAAATTATAAATTGAATATAACCCGCATGGGTAATAAGTTTAGTACTCTCTCCGCCCATTATTATCTTTATTCTTTCCATTTCGGTTCGTCACAAATTTATTTATATTTTCTTTTTTGGCAAAAAATTTGTGGTTCACAACCATTCTTACACATTCTCTCTCCTCTGCATAACTCTCCTGCACACATTTTCACTATCTTAATATGTGTTCCGGGTCAAAACCAAAGTTTTTATTGGGACGGAGGGAGTATATTTTAATTCAATCATCTGTTTTGAGTTGAAAATTGTGCTAAACTCCGTTTGCAAAAATGATGATATTGTATTAAAAGATTGACCGATAAGATCGATAAATTGAAAAATAATTGTTATCAAACAGGCTCCTCGTAAATTGAAAAATAATTGTTATCAAACAGGCTCCTATATACGGAGTATAAAATTTTCACAATTAAGCCATTTTTAAGAAGTTTCATTAATTTGAGCTGATAATTAAAGTCAATTCCCACGTTACCATGCAGATTCAAATCCAGTTAAGGTTGAAATCTACCCAAATTAACCTCATGGCACCCCAATCTTAAATTTTACTTGTGCCCATTGAAAGGGAAAAAGATGCCCGTTTATTTGTTTTGTAAAAAGCAAATGACAATGTATAATAATTTACTCGTATTTATTTGAGATGAAGTATGCTTGTGGCGATGGTGTATGAGGCCTCACCCTAAAATAGAAGTTTCACCTCCTTTGTAATTATAGCCCCCCTTCATTTTTTCGAAATTCATAAAATATAATGATTGAAAGGGTCCAAGTTTGTGTTTATGTTTGAATCTTTGATACTGTATATTCACCCTGTTGTGCATGAAATGTTATTATGATCAGGTGTTTGTATATTTGTGTTACCCCCGAAATACTTCCGTTTTTATTAACCTATGCCAATAAGAAGTCATTGATTTATCGTCCTTTGATAACAGCACGTGGGTCATAATACTCCACTCGTCGTTATACTAAAATTTCGTTTTGGTTTTTGAAGTTAAAGAATACGGAGGATTAATTTTGATTACTAGGTGTGTGGCCACCACATTGGTGATTGGTGAAACTTCACGCTACCGTGGATCATACTCCACGTGGAGGGGTCGATAAAAGCGATCGTCGGTCGAGTTTTGGTACGGTTGGTGGGCTGTGACACGTGGACAGGTCATAAAAACGGTCGCCGATCGGGTGGTCAGGGATCGAGCTTCAAATCTCAACCCAACTGCTTCACTCAGCCACTATTGAATTATTCGTGCGAGTGAAAATCATGTCATCCATCATTTTTATTATGCTTCTAACATATCATGATATCTGTTGCAACACAAATGTTAACATTATTGATTGAGATAAGGATTCATACCTGATAATTTCTCTTTAAGGTAATACCAATATCATCAAACTACAAGTTACTTTAAATTTATTAGCTCATACGATACATTATAAAATTAATGCTATAAATCAGCCACACTTGCGTTTTGTATTTTTCGTGTCTACAAAGGCAGGTTGGTTTATTTTTCACATAAATTAATACTAACATTGTCCTATAGACATTACATGTAAATGTGTGCACTCAATGTTTAAGAAACTGAACGGGTAGTTAAAGAAATGTTACTCCGTATCTTAAAGCAAAAACATACTGATTAAACTTGGATAGAGAAAGTAATAGAATAATTTGTTTTATCAGTTTTGCCAATCCATTTTCATCAAATTACTAAGGGTATGTTTACTAGGAGAGATGTTTTCCACTTTTCTTTTCTGTTTTCCATTTTCCAATTTTTTGTTTTCATTTTCTAGTTTTTCAATCTTCAATTTTCGATTTTCATTTTTTAATTTTTCATTTTCAAATCTGAAAACATGTTCCTCAAATTTTTTCACCTGATTCTGTGACCGACCAGAAGACCAAAAGTACACTCCTAGTACAGAATCAAACCCAATACAACCCAAGTAGGTACCCGTCCCGTGTATAGGAAAGTCGGGACCAAAATCGGTCAGTCTCGGTCGATCTCAACGTTTAGTTTGACTAAATATTTTCTTGTTTCTCTATTGGTTGACAACTCAATAACTCTTTTAAAATTGTTCATTTTAAAAAACGATTTCAAAAAAATTGAGACAGGCAGAGACCACAAATATTTTCCCATTAGTTTGACTAAAAATAATTTCATTGACCGGCCCGGGCAGGTACCGTCGGGTCATTGACGGGTCTGGCCCGGGACCGCCCGGTTGTCAATCAGACCAAACACTTACCGCTGGGTCATTGATCAGACAGGACGGGGACAGGGTCCCTAGATCCCCCAAAAATGAAAAAAGTTGGCCCAGGTTTAAATCTTTATAATATGTGTGAGTAGGCTGATTTTTCAGCCCTAAACCTGTAAATATTTGTGTGATTTTTGTTGAGGTGCTTCGAGGTGAATTGTTTTAATGCAAATTTGTGAGCAAGTTTCTATGAAGGCTAGATTTATATCCACAAAAGTTTAGTTAAAAATTCAATCCAGAAGTCAGTTTTATAATTTATTGAAAAACACCGCATTTTTATGCATATTTTGACACAATGTATTTCAATGATTTATTTGAGTGGCTTCCTAATTTAACTTTGAACTGAAATTTTGTGGACATAATCTTCATTTGACAAAAAATATGCTTACAAAATTTCATAAAAAATCTATTTGAAAGCAGATTAGTCTGATATGATTATTTGATTACTGTATTAATATAATTGATTTCATTAATAGTTGATTATATTTTTTATTTCTTAATTGTTTATTGTTATCTGTAGATTTTTGGTGTTATAATTTGTTGATTTTGTAATTAAATTTATAAATTTAATACATTTCACGGTGTAATAAAAATGATTGAATCTAGATAGGATAAAGGAAAAAAGAGAAGAAAATTAGATAAAGTGGCGCTAGATGAGAACAAAGAAGAAGAATGATTTAGTAACAAAAAATGAAACGATTCAGAATGATCACATCATTGGATGAGAAATTATGGAGTTGATGATAATAGAGTTAATTAATTCCTTAATTAGGACTAACACATCGATAAAGTGTACATATATGACTGCTATTGTTTCCTTTCTAAACAAGGACCACAAATAAGATAATATTATTAGTTTAGACAGAAGATGGTTTTATAATTTTTTTATAAATGTCTTGAAATATTATTATTATTATTATATTAATATTAATATAATAATAATAATTATTATTATTATAATATTATGCATGTTAGCTTAGACAACAAAGGGTTTTACAATTTTTTAAAGATTGGACTCATTTTAATTCTCCGCTCCTAGGCCTTCAAACATATAAGACCAGCCCTGCCAATATATTTACTAAATCTAGTCCAATTAAGTTCGTTAAGATGACTTAAGTTCCCTACTATAAACAAACGAGACTAACAAAGATTTTTTGGCAGAGATTCCCCAAAATGGACAGAGATTTTGACAGAGATATGCCAAATCCGTGTCAAAATCATTTTGACACGAACTATTTATCATGAAATCATCGATCAATCCGCACCAAATCTTTGGCAAATTAACGCGTTGGCCTTCTCCTAACGGGACTAAATAATCAGTATGTTTATATTCGAATAACCTTGTTTGCATATTTCTTAATAATCATGTCTTAATAATCATGTTTTCTAAAAGGAGTTAAGTTGGGATGGATGTAATTCCGAACTTCATCCGTCTTCAAAATATATTCTTCAATTCATATTTGCTCGCATGAGGCAGTGTTCTAAAAGGAGCGATCTAGGCGCCCCTAGGTGTGAGATGACGGGAAAATTCCCCATATAATAAAAATGGGTGGAAAAGGAGACCAACTGAAAAGTTCATCACCTAAGGCGTGAAAGGCCAGACTTAAATTTTTTAGGCCGGAAAGGTGGCATATATTGATATCACAGCTTACAGATAAGGGATAAAAACACAAAGAGACCGCATGCAACCGCCGACCATCAAACCTGACTCGGAGTTAACCACCTCACAAGAAGCATTATAACTCGCTGATCCATTTATGGGCGCAACTGAGCCAAAGACGGAAAACACGGTCCTCCTGTCACCCAAATCCAAACTCAAAGTCTTACAATGCAGATAAAAAAGACTAACAAAAAACAAAGTACTCAGTCTCGAGGAAAACAAGATAACAATAACACAAATCTCTATTGCAACTTCCAAAGCACTAGGCCGAAAAGGCATCTTGAAACCGCTACTAGAAAATGCGTCTTCGGCGGGCCTAGGCATCTAAGCCCGCCTCCTCCCCATTTTTTGTCTTATCCGCCGCCATAGAGTCCTTGCTTAGCCCTTCCTGCTCCCGTTCTTCCCAGATTCTTCTTCTCTTCTATACTTTTGACACTTCTTGAGTGCTATCCAAGTCTCCATCCTTAGTTATACTATAATTCCCGGTGCCAATCATAGAATTCTTCCAGCCATGTCCTTCTTCTGAGCCCTCCTCCCCCTAGAATTCTCATGAAAAGAGCGACTATGGGTTGTGATGGATGAGCCCTTCACCAACCATTTGTTCCCTCCTGTAGGACTGGTCTTCACCCCACACCTGCTCTCAGACTAGTCCATAATGATTTTTCTAATACCAAATTGTCCTCATAAGTTACAGGATAAAATTTATCAGAATGACCAAGAGTCCCACAAATAAAACAAAAATTGGGCAACAATTCATGCTTGAAATCAACCTAGTGCCCAACACCTGCTTTCTTAAGAGATGTTCCCTTCTTAAAAGGTTTGCGCACATCCAAACAAACTCTTACACACAGATAAGCTTCTCATTTCCCCTCAAAGTGATCATCATCATATCATATTTAACAAAAATGCCAATATAATTACCAACACCTCTAGCCGTACACAGGTTCATCAAACTATAAGAAACATTATGAACTTGCACCCAAAATTTTGTCTCATTAAGTTCGATTTTAAGAGGAATGTCATCAGGTTTAACTTCTTTCAATATCAGCAAATTCTTTTCAAATGACCACGGTCCACCATCTAAAACACGTTTCATATCCACACTATGATCGAAAGTAAAGAGATACTTTTTCTCGTGGATCTCTTTAATGGACACCCCCTTACCTGGTCTCCACAGTGAAGCCATAAGATTCTTGAAAATTTGAAACTTGATTCTCCTATCCGTTAGTACAGCCCCAACCACCGGAAACGTCGGTCGGATCTCCACCGCTGCATCCTCATCAACCACTTCCTCATCCAGGTCCAATTCCTCGGTCTCCTCGCTAATCTTCATCTGTTGTGCTGATTAAATTAACAATGGTTCCCATTCAAAATCTCTGCTTCTAGCCGCTGACTATCGCCCCTTCCCATTGATTCTGCCTCCGCGATGGCCAAGTTGGAGATTGACGATGCTCTCTGTTGATCACCTTCCTTCGTTCCGATCAACAAAAGCCATGTAGCCCTAAACGAAAACAACCGCGGCCTGCGGACCACCTCCAATAAATCACCGCAAAACCATGATGATGACACCTAGTGGACGTCCGTTCTTTGTCCTCGACGGAAACGGAGGAAAAGAGCTCTAGCGGCGTATAGCCCTAGAGAGAGGAAAAAGATGTACCCTTTTTTTACACCTAAAGGAGAGAATTAAATTGTAAAGTAGGAAGTTTTTTAGATGAGTTATTTTTGCAAATAAAAAGTTGATTAGATTAAAAATATCACTTTTATATACACGTTGTAGATGGAATCTAATATGGAATAGTGAAGAACAACAATATATCATTTGGTGTTTTTGCACTTTTATACATATAAGAATTATATATATTGAACAAAGAACAAATTAGGTTTATTCTTGTATAATAATTTTGGGACATTTTATCTATTTTCTTCATACATTATTATTATAAAATACTAATGATAATTATCGATAAAAATCTAAAATACTATTTCAATCATAAACATCGCTTATTCACACTAAGTTTGAAAGACTTGAAACTTGACTTTGACGCCTTAACACTTCATAGTTCACACTGTTTTGGAACACCGGCATAAAGACCTTTATGATCTCATGAAGAGTAGAGCCCATGTGGTAACCCAGTTTTTCGGTCTATCAGACTTATGAGCTAGATTTTTCACCAAACACGTAACTTTTGGTTTCGTGTTCTGAATTATGTAATAATAATAAGAAAAAGTAAGGTTTCAGTTACTTTTCTAGCTGTATTGGCTGAAGTTAATGGAGATGATTTAGTTATATTTACATATAAGGTTTTCTTTATTTTATTAATAAATTATGTTTTAAATATAATTTTTTCTTAAATCCTAATCATCCAATCCAGTCACTTCAGCCAGATTTTTATAAATTTCAGCAGATCAGCCGATGTTGGTATTACCAAACGGACACCAATAATGCAAATATTAATACGTCTGGAAGAAGACAAAATTGTGGACAAAGTTCAACAAAAATAAATTTAACTTTTATAGAAGAATCTAATCTTTGGTAGAATCTAAATTGATGTAATATGCTAAAATTGATGAAGTTTTGAATGAAGTGACTGAACGAGATAAAAAAAAAGATAATTTAACATTATTTATTAATTTAGTAGAATTGAAATTCATGAATCTACTGAATTATGAAATCATCATATTTAAATTTATTTATTAATAAAAAACATGACAAAAAGATAAAATTGTTCTCTACCAAAATCTCCAGTCAGTTCAACAATAAAAAAGTAATTTTAACATTACTTATTTTGATTATTACACAATTCAGCGCACAAAATCACCGTTCTCTAAAAAATCATCAGCCAATTTAACAAGAAAAATTATGTATTGAATTAAAAGTGACTGATAAGACTGATAAACAAAAAATTGAAAGTTGCCAAACGGACTCTGAAAATTGTTTTAAAAAGAAAGTAATTCTCCAAATTTTGATTTCTTTTAGTAACCATGTTTTAGACTTGTCGGTCTATTTTTTCTCAAACACTTCACTTTTAAACTTACACTAATTAAATTTGTAATGTTAAAAATAAGTAATGTAAGATTACTTTTGTGAATGAATTCACTACACATGACCATTATCCCAAATTTTAATATATTTTTTCGTTATTCTATTAATTTCATTAATAAAATATATTTTAAACATAAATATTATTTAATTTTTGAAAATTAGCATTTCGAGCTAGAATTTTAACAATTTCAACCAATTCCACCGATTTAGCAAAATCTAATGTTAAAGACGGTTCTTTGGTGGAAACGTTGAACACATTTCTTATAAAAAAAAATGAAGAAAATAATACTCCCTCCGGTTTTTAATAAACTTCACACTTTCCTTTTTGGGATGGTCTAAAATAAACTTCACACTTCCTTATTTCCTTTTTTGGCAAAGAAATCTACATCAAAACAGTGCCAAACAGTGTCAAACAGTGCCAAACAGTGTCTCAACAGTGCCAAACAGTATCAAACAGTGTCTCAACAATGTACTCTACAGTAAAGTCAAATTTCTTTCCTTATTTTGTGTGAAGTCAAAGTGTGAAGATTAAATAAAACCGGAGGGAATAGTATATGGTGCAAAACAAAAAAGGTGAATCTTAATAAAAACAAAACGGTTTTAGGGAAGGATAGGGTAGGGATGGTAGAGGGGATACGTAAAGAAATCGGAAAAGGAAAAAAGGAGAGGAAAAACAGTAGAAAAACCCTTTTGGACACTACAGTGCACTGCACCTCGATTTGATCGCTGCTTAATTTCCTTCTCTCTATAATAACATGCAGATGCAATTAAGATTAGATTTGGTGCAGTAATGGCAGTGCCTTTCATCTCTCTCAACAAAGCGGGGTTTAGCCCCAGTGACTTGCAGCAGCTAGCTAGAAGCATTTGAAGAATCAAGCTATCTTAGCTCATAATCCATAGATGTATCTATAGAGTGATAGATGGATCCAGAGAGTTTTCATCGGGAAGGTAAAGAAAGTCCTCTGCCCAACCTCGTGTGCACTCTTTGTCTTTCAGAGAGAGTGCAGAGAAAGATATTGCAACACAAACGATTAAGCTCATGAGCAAGCATTTTTGTTAGCATTATCCTTATATCGCCGGATTAATCCATTTTTATAAGTCCATTTGGCAAAATTATTTTTCGGCTTATCAGGTTTATCAGTCAACTTTTTCATCAAACATATGACTTTTGCTATCGCGTACTCAATTGTGTAATAAGCAGAAAAAGTAAGGTTATAGTTACTTTTCTGGCTGTATTGGCTGAAGTTACTGTAGCTGACCATTTTAACTATTTCTACATATAATTTTTTTTAATTTTATTAATAAAATTAGCCAATGCAGCCACTTCAGTCAGAATTTCATAAATTTCAGTAGAATCAGCCAAAACAGCCGATTTTGGTGCTACCAAACTGGCTCTATATATGGAGTATATTATACGAAGTATTAGAATACAAGGATGATATTCCATCCTTGAGGACTCCTATCATCGATCGAACAATTAATTAGAAGAATGTAAATTGAATATTAATCACATCATACTTACAGAGGTCATATGCGTTTTTACGCAGTAACACAACATTTCATCGTGGTTACCATGATATATATGAATCTGAGACCTATCTCCTGTGACACTGCTTATCTACTAGTTGAGCTACGTCGACCGACCACACTTTTTCCATTCGATTCTCAACGACGGTCTAAATTCTATTATGAACAAAAATCGGTTTTGATAAATTGATTTCGTGTGATCTCATGTTTCTAGAACAACTTAAAGGAGAACCGTTACTGATTAATCAAACACTGCTCGGTTCGACAATGCAGCATAAGATGATACTCCTTCCGACCTTTAAAACTTTGCCAACTTTCCATTTTTGAATGTCTCATTAACTTTGTCACTTTTTTTTTTAAGTAAAGAATGTGTAGTTCTAGTCAATTCTCTCTGTTGAGCAGAGTCTGCTTTGCACAAACATTTATTACACAATTTTACTTTATTAATATTCGTATCAGTCAAACATAGCAAAATAAAGTTTTAAGGGACGAAAATAATACGGAGTATAAACTATTGGTTGCTCGACTACGCAAGCTTGCTCTAGGCGAGAAGATTTTTAGAAAAGCTTTTCTAAATTAAATTTGCCCTGTTCATCATGACTTGAACAAAACCCCTAAATAAAGACGATCTTAGAACTGTTTAGAGAAGTGTTTAAGAAATGTATGATTCTGTTTCTTGAAAACTGTTTCTAGTTCTTCAAGAGCATAAACAATTTAATGTTTAAGTGTTTAGGTGAAATCCTTGAATTGTTCAAGTGTTTCTTGTTGTTTTGAGATATAATTTTTGGGACGAGTATTTTTGGGAAATCGAAGGAGACGAGTATTTGAAAAATTAAACCTGATTCTATTTTCACTACAGAAGCAAAATTATTCAAAACGCATACTAGGCTCTTAGCTACAAGCAAGCAATCAAATAATAACAAATCATTCGGGCATTTTGTTAATTAGTACTACGTATTATTAGAGGATTGTCGGTATTTAAAATTTTAAAGCAATTCTTAGTAATATCAATTATTTGATGTATGTGTAGATCTCAATTAAAGGTTTCCTCTAAAATTAAGAGCCTGTTTAGTGACACTAAAATTGGCTGAATTTGACTGATTCTGTTCAAATTTATGAATTTCTGGCCGAAGTGACTGTATTTGCGGATTGCGTTGATTCATAAAAAAATTATTTAAAAATATATGAAAAAATAGCTAAAATGTTCATCTACAGTAACTTCAGCCAATACAGCCAGAAAAATGACTCCTGACTTACCTTTTCTGCATATTACACAACTCAGCGCGTGAAATCAAAAATGTTTGATGAAAAAGCTGGCTGATAAGCCAAAAAAAAGGGTCAGGCTCTAATATTCTACCGAGACGGCAAGTGCCAGCTCAAATTAAAAAAAGAATAAGTGGTTATAATAAATGTAACTTCTTTCAAAACAAATTTAGCATTCACAGCCTACTTCGGCCGATCTTTGCGACTTGTTTCTCCAGCAAACAGAAATTTTTATGGCAACCAAAAGAACTCAAATAGAATTGATGATTGATTCAATTGGAGGTGAAATAGGGGTCGAAAGCTCAGATTTCCCCCCCAAATTCGGACTATTTGTAAAAAAAATAACAATCTATAAACATTCATATCCGTATATTGACTTATTGAATAATAAAAATGAAGAGTTCGATCATTTGAGAAATACCCATTATATGTTCGTAAAATATTTTATAACATATAAGAATTTATAATTATATTTTATTTTACAAAAGGCACCATACCAAATTAAATGTATGGGTACACTCTATTAAGTTTTGGCACTTAGAAAAAACTAAGTTATGTGAGGAAGAAAGGCAATTTAAAACAATTCCCAACTCAAATAGTTAAATTGGTTAATTTTAACTCAACAATTGGTGTACCGGCCAATTGGCAAAAATATTATAGATCAAATATTTTGTACTAAAAGAAAAATGAAAAACCTGATTAATTGGAACAAATAAAAGTTCATAAAATATGATGTAAATTAATTGAAGAACACACTGAATAATTAACATCACGAGTCGATATTGATATACGGATCACCTAAATTTGAATGATAGACGGATATGAAGTTAATTAAAATTGGAATTATATTGAAATTCTCTTAAATAAAATTACTTATGGTATACTCAAGTAAATTGAAAATTCTAGAGCACCTGGTCATGCCCGACATGTGAACTGAACTCACATAATGCTGTCACCTACAAGTACTCTGTATATCCTAACTTATACGGAGTACTTGTTTTTTTTGTAGAAAAAATGGTGACACTCTATAAAATTAACAGCGACTTTTTGAAGATATAAACGTATTTAGGAGGCATACGAGTTGCAAAAAAATCATATGAGTATTTACGTTACTCAAAGTGTATTTTAGAAGATATACAGATGTTTTGAAAAAACAAAGTGGATATTCATTTTAAACATTTTTTATTTACTTATAAGTTTCTTGTAAATAAAACACGCTTAAGCGGATAAAACATATCACACGCTAATGCATAACGAAATATATTTATTAGTACACTATACTTTTAAAATAATAATTTTAATTTCAAAAAACATAAAGACTACACCAAACGTCAAAATGGGACATTCATTTAGGGATGGAGGGAGTAGTTTACATTCATATTTTTTCAAACACCATATTTTCAATTTTGAGAATGATGTAATAATATAAACAACTTAATATTTGTAATTGAATTGTCCAGAATTGCGTAATGCACCCAAAAAAATCTTTATTTTATTAAGAAAATGCATTTAAGTATATTCTTTTCATATTTCAGGAAATACAACCAATTCAACCATAATTTTGATAATTCCATAACTTCAGTAAATTTAACCAATTTCAATATTCAGCTGGCCCTATATGTAGGGGTAGAGACACGAAGGGGCTGGAGGGGGCCACGGCCCCTGCTAGAGAAAAAAATCTTAAGTATATATTACGTATAAATACTTTTAATCTATAGAAAGTATGTTGATATTTTAAATTTTGGCCCTGCAATATAAAGTTTTTAAGAACCAGACTTTTTAACCATAGATGTCTGGCTCCGCCACTGCCCATATGATATGAGGTAGTAAGCACATTTTCGTATACAGAAATACATGGGATTCCCATATATATATATATATATAGAGAGAGAGAGAGAGAGAGAGGAAAGTTCATGTCAGGACCTCTAAAAACGGACCTCCGTACGGACCTCGGCGTTTGGGCCCCTTCCCGGTGTAATTTTTTGATGCAATTTTTTGAGCACGTTCTTCATCAAGTCTAATTTATCCATACCAAATTTCAGCTAAAAATTCCATCGGGAAGACAGTCAAATGATTTTTGGAAGTTAACTGCATTTTATATGTATATTAACTGCGCAGTTAACTTCCAAAGTTCATTTGACTACCTTCGCGATGAAATTGTTAGCTGAAATTTGGTATGGATAAACTAGACTTGACGAAGAACATGCTCAAAAAATTTCACCAAAAAATTTTACCGGGAAGAGGTCCAAACGTCGAGGTCCGTACGGAGGTCCGTTTTCGGATGGTCTTGACATGAAGACTACTCTCTCTATATATATGAGGGAGACATATGGGTTTAGCTGGCTTTATTACAATCACTCATTTTAATTTTTAATTTCATTATTGTGGAGTAATTGATAAATTTACTATGAAATTTAGAGTCCGTTTCAAAGACTGAAAATCGGCTGAATTTTTTTAAATTGAATAAATTCGGACCGAAACAACTAAACTTGTTGATTCTGTAGAGATGAAAAATACGTAGTAATATGCCATACTTATTGCCGAGTATATTATTTGTAAAAATAAATAAAAATTGTACTCCGTATAAAAAAGCTAACTAATCTTTAACATAAAAGAAAGTCCTGTAATAAGGTTGAGGAACGGAAAAAATGAATGAGAAAAGAGGCTCTAGTTCCTACAAGTGACTTTGATAAAGCTGCATAACTTATATAATTCCAAATAATTATGTTATAAATTAAACTTGGCTTAGCCCAATAATTGGGTCCATTACAAGTTAACTTATTGGGCTAATAGTTGTATGAAAAATAATAAATTAGTTAGCCCATAAGTTAGAGTTAGTTAAGAAAGATCTAGAGTAGTCTTTAGTTAATGTACTTATTAAATAATTCTAGAATGTTCATAAGCTAGAATTCTATGGAATATTGTAGAATCTTAAGGAAATAGGAGTGTCTAGAAGGATCCTATGAGACCTATAAATAGAGCACTCCTCACTTATTTGTAATACAAGCCAAAGCTCCAAATCAATAAAAGTTTCAAGTTCTTCCAAAATCATCTCTATCTAAAATTCTCTCTTCCACACCCAATCACTTAAATACAATACTCATAAACTCCTTTATTCCAACAAAGTGGTATCAGAGCCAGGTTTCTTTCCTCGAGCATATCTGCAGAATCATCATCCTTCATGAAATCGTAGGACAAGCAGTTGCCTCTCTCAAATGCCGTAGAGTACATCACTTGTGTTTGGTTCTGCAAGGAACTCACATCAAACATGCTCCCGAAGTATAACAC